AGGTTGTAGGCCAACGCTTGCAGGTTGGAGGCTATCGCTAGTAGGTTGGAGGCCATTGTTAGTAGGTAGTTTGAAGCCATCACTTCGACTGTGGACTTGGCAGGTCTCCTCTTGGGTTAGTGCCTTCTCTCGCATGAAAGCAGACTTGCTTGATGCAAAGCCCTGTCGATACCAGGAGCTTTGGACCTGTGAGGTTTTAAACATGTAGTGGTAGTTTGGGGGCTGACTGAGAGTGGACCGTTATGTGTAAGATCATTTTTTGTAAAGGACCCGTGTTCACTTGCTTTCCTTTTGTGAATAAGAAAGGATCAGGCGGAAAGACGTGGAGTTTCAAAGACTTCCTGATATGGATCCAACCGATCCAGATAAATGCGATTTACAGAAGTGGGAAACCCTTGCCGAGGACGGGAGCCTGTTGATCTTCGAGTTCAAAAACTTTGATGGAGAGGAAGATGCCAAAGAACTTTGCCAAAGGTTTGCTGCCAAAGGGAGCTGCGAAACTGCCTTTTGCATCGTGGCTTTGAAATCGGTGTTGGCCTTGGAATCCGCGATCATTTTGTTTGTGGACTCACCTCCGATTCTTTTCTTTGCATTGGCTTCCCAGCACATCTCCTGCGACGTAAGTTAGCCGCTCCTCATGACGGTTCCATTTTCTGTTCACACCAGCTTGATCACCATATTCACCTCAGACTATTTGCTGCCCAAGACACAGACCCTGCTCTCTTGCGGGATTCAAGCCTTTAAGACAAGGTGACCAAGAAGGCTGTTGAAAAAGGATCAGCTTCCGATATCGTTATTCTTTTTATCACTCCTGTTTCTGTATGAGATGCAATCAGGTGGACTGTTCAGCTTGAACCAAGTGTACAAATTGTGTTGCTTGTGAACACCGTTTTGTAGGTGCATATTTTACACCCAGAGCATCCTGTTGTATTTTTTGCGCGTATACTTTGTACGCGCATGTTTTGAAACGCAACACCGTTAGTTGTCGGTGTAATTTAATGTTTGTGCTGTCCAAGCTGCAGTGTTTGACATGGCATTGATTGATGCCAAGGTAAAGGAAGGCTTGGCAAGCAGCGGCCACGAGAGCTTTGTTTGTTGCAAGGCGTAGCCAGAAGTGCCATACCAGGAGGGAAGGTTTCGCAGTGTACCATGTGGTGCGCCTGTGCTCCAGGAAGATTGCCAGTTGAACGGAGGAATGCCAGAGACTCAACTGAATCTGGTGGAATTCCTTTGGACTTTCTCGCAGCCCTGGACTTTTTTGGGATGCCGCACTTTGCGGAGATCCGTGTGGTTCGCTTTGGTGATGGTGTCCCACTTGAAGTCCGCTGGGAGGTTGGCACGAATGACGAGGTAATTTGGGAGGAAGAAGAAGAAGAAGAGAACTCTGAAACTGCTCAGACCTCCTTGTTGGAAGGCGCCTCAGAGCAAGCAAAATCACAAGATGCTCCCAGCGATCAGAGCCAAATCTGGATTCGAGTTCAACGAAGAAGATGGGCTGACGAGACAGATTCCAATGACGACAATGATGGGGAAACCTTGGCAAGTGAGGCGGTGTGTTTTCTTTGGTTCATTATTTTCGAGCAACGCAGTGGCTTTTTCGTTAGTAGGTTGGAGGCCATCGTTGGTAGGTTGGACAGGTTGGAGGCCATCGTCGTTGGTAGGTTGGAGGCCATCGCTAGCAGGTTGGAGGCCATCGTTGGTAGGTTAGGCCATCGCTAGTAGGCTTGCTGATGTTGCGATGCGTCTTGTGGTCGAGAATCTGTTTCTACATGAGCCCATTCGAGGCCAGGGATGGACTTGAGGAACTCAGTGAAAGATGTGAAAGTTCAGGCGCCTGCCATTCCTTTCGCGCAGAATTGTCATGTAATGCTTGTTGTTCAACCTCGATAGTTGAAGATGTCAGGCCAATATGACCAATCAGCAACAACAGCAGCAGCAACCTCCAACAAACATCTCTTTTGAAACATCATGAAACATCTCCTTGCTCTTGTTCTATTTTTTGGCAGCCGCTGAGCAGGTAGCCTGGAGGCGAGCCCCAGCATAAGGCAAGAAGAGAGACTTCCTGCTACGTAGTGCCGTAGTGGTGAAGAACGGATGCCAACAACAAGATGTGTTCCCATTCTGTTTCTTCGTCAACAGTGTGACAAACCAGAAGCTCCTTAGCATACTCCCTACTCAATTAAGTAGTGATGCTATTTCGGTTGGAGGCCATCGCTTTCGCTCGCTTGAGGCCGAAACTCGCGTCAGAGCAGCACATATCCTCGTCCTCTGGAAGTCCAAAGCAGCCACATCCGTACTTGGCCTTCTTTCAGGCAAAGAAGTCTTCATATTAAATTGGTTTCATTTTGATTTTTTTGAAACCTTCTTGCATTCCAGTTCTGTCCCAGACTTCCAAGTTGAACATGTTCAGTTGGACAGGATGTGCGCTCAGACAGACACAGGCAAGTGCCTTCACCTGAAGCTTGAGTTTGCACTTGAGTCCTCTGTGTTGAACAGGTGCAGTCCACCAACTTGTTTCTATTGAGTTCGGGTGAACTCTGTCCAAGGACCTGCCACCTTCGAACATGAGTGATGCTCTGTGCAGTGACAAGGCTGACAAGGAGCTCAGGAAGGAACAGCCACGAATCTTGCCGGTCAGATTGCCTGAACGAACTCCAAGCCGTGAAATCAACAGGTGTGCAATAGAATTTTGCTATTCCTAGATACGAGCAAAAAAATCAATCGCTTTTCCTAAAAGCAATGCCCTGCTTACCAGCGATGGCCTACTGCCGCCCCATTCTTTTTCTCCAAGGAGAGTCCGAGGAAGATGGCGCTTTTCTCGCCGAGTGCGAACGCCTTGGCGAGAAATCTTCAGAGCCTCGTCCCGAGGCCATGGAGGCCATGGAGGCCATTCGCCTGGAAGGCCTTAGACAGCGCTCTTCGGAGGTCCAGGTCGAGGTGACGGGACCTGCGGGTCCGCGGGGTCAGGCGAGCGAGACCTGCGATCGAAGACGAGCTGAAAAAGCTCAAGAGCTGGATGCACCTTCGAAGTCTTCAAAGTCGGAGTGGAAAACAGCCAGGTCCAAGGAGTTCAAGGAGCCAAAAGATTCTCTCTCCATGTCCCACATCGTGCCGCCTTCAATGCGCCGAAGCTTGTCGGAGGTTACCGAGGAGCTTGTGCAGCTACTCGCTGAGGCACGAGCGTCGTCCCACGCAGACCCTGTGCAGCTCGAGGAACTGGGCAGGGCAGAGCGCCGCTTGATGGCAGCGCTGGTGGAGAAAGATGAGAAGGGTATTCAGGACAGCCTATGGGGGCATGTGGGGCCGTAGTTTTCATGGCATAGTTCATTTTAAGTATCCAAGATAGAGAGCAAAATGGACGGGCGAGAGAGAGAGAGAGAGAGAGAGAAAGAGAGAGAGAGAGAGAGAGAAAGAGAGAGAGAGAGAGAGGGGGAGGAGACATATACACACACAACCACCACAGACATAGCAGACCCAGACTAGCAACATGACACCCATCCACACTCAACCCATAGCTCTATGATGGCAACGTGGCAACACTGGAAGCTTACAGCCTACGTGGATCGACACATGTGGAATGCTGACAGAAAAGTGGCGCGAGCAGCACAAACAGGCAGAGAAGATTGCAAAAGGAGCAGAAATAAGAGGCGGAGAAAGAAGCGACAGAAGGCGGAGAGAAACACGTGAAAAGACCAAAAACATAATAAACGTGAGTGAGAGTTCAATCCTTCGTGTTGAAACGGGTCCCGAGATCAAGAGAGAAATCTCAGGAACTGCTGAACTGCACTGATTGGGCTCTTGAAATTTAGAGAGAGAGAGAGAGAAACTGCAAGAACAATCAAGAGGCCTTGTTTAAAGAAACTGATTTAGGAGGATGGTTCGCGCCCAGAGTGGTCCACTTTTGCCTCGTGTTTGGTGGGCTCCGTGTCCGTCTCCTCGGTGCCGCCCTCGGTGCCACGCAGCCGGGCCCTGAGCCGAGCCAGTTCCTACGACAGCTTCTTCGACGGCGAAGGCGTGCGCTACGTCTTGGCTTCGCCCGAAAACACCCAGCCGAGCACGCCCAGGTCAACGGCCCAAGCGACATCGACTCCGACGTGGCCTGCGCGTTATGTGCTTCCTGAGCCCTATTGGCTGATGGATGAGCCAAATGCCAACGTTCTACGTTTGAACGATGGTGTGAGCCAGCAGGGTTTTGACTTCAATGGGCACCACGGAGTTTTTGGAGAAGAACGAGGTGACTTGCAGATGCCCATCACTGGGTGGCATGATCCTGTGTCGCCACAAGCCCTAGTGTTGCAACGTGCTCCAGTCCGCAAGAGACATGGGAGCAAAGGCAGCAAAGCTTCGACGGACTCAGAGAGTCACTCACAACTGACCCAGGATGAAGTGCCGGAGTTGAGACACGTTGCAACAAGCGCAAGCACTGCAAGCATGCGTAAACGTCAGCAAGCTTCAATACCCAGTGGTCCCAGCCTGGGCTTGATGTGGCACAACAGCCCTTTTGCCATTTCCCGCACTCCAAATATCCACACGCCCGCGAGCCACCGGTCACCTGCGCGATCGCCCACGTCGTTTAGTGGCTACTGCTCTCCGATTCCGGGATTCGCCGTGCATTCCGCACATTCCTCCGGTGTGGCTTCGCCCCAAAGGCGCTCGGGCTATTCGTCTCCCTCCACCGGTGGGGCCTTCTTTGGGGCGGCTCAGAGCGGGCTCATGCGACGATTGATGTCCTTGCGTGAGGCTGGGCAGTTGGGGGTGAAACGGTGAAGCCTGCAGAAGGTGGAAACGCAGCGAACTGTTGAACATGTGCAGAGTAGAAGAGTTTGTTGAATGTTGGGGATTATGCTGTTAACTATGCTTCTGTTGAAATTGACAGGACATGTTCCCCTTGGACTGTGAAGATGTATGAAGATTAAATTTGGTGTGTTGCGATGTGCTGGTACAAGACCTGAGAAGACAATACTGGGGAACGATGCTGTTGATTCGTGCTTTGCAATGCTTTACATGTCAGGCTAGAGGCGAAGAGCAAGAAGAAGACAGCGACGTCTCTTCTCGTCGAAGTGCTTCTGACGATGGGGAACCAGATTTGCTGGAACTGCTTCTCAAGCATGCAGAGCGCGCACCCAGTAGATCGGTCGAACCAAGATTGTTTTCTTTGGATTTGCGCTCTGATTTTCCGATCTCTTCGCTTCGAGGATTGCTTCCATGTCATTCCGTTCCCTTTCTCAATGCTTTGGTGCAGACTCTACTTGCTTCGTCCTTGAAAGCTTTACTCTCACAGGTTTCTTTGACGCCCGTACAGCGTCCGGCTTATTCGTGCTTTGCACAGCTTTGCTTGGAAATGGAGGGGTCGATCTCGAAGCCTTCAGATTTGACCTCCTTAAACTTGCAGAACATTCAGAATCGTCCAGTGGATGCAGGGCTACTGATGGAGCCACTACTTCGTCGTTTCGAACGGGGAAAGTCGGTGCAAGAAGCGCCTGCCTTTCCGGGGCCCTCTCGTGTTCCTGGCTTGGCAGATATGTTCTCTTGCTTTCTGCACTTCTTTTTGGGTCAACTGCACGATGAATGCAAGTGGCCCTCCGTCCGATCCGTCTCCAGCTCGCAGCAGGATTCCGATGATTCCCCCATGATGCGGATCTTCGGTGGTCTGATCCAAACTTCCAAAGAACGACGCCCGAAGAATGCCAAAGCGACAGATGTGGCCTTTGAATCATTTCTGCTGCTTCACTTGGACTTGACACCAAGCTCAATGGCTTTAACTTCTGTGAGCAAGGCTTTAGGGGTCGTGTCGTGCTTTAGAACATCAGGAGTCAAACGTGGCTTCAGCATTTGCGTTCTTCTTGGTGCCTTTATGGAACGGGTTGACAGAAGGAGTATCAGAAAGCAATGTTGTCGGGGACTGGAGCAGACTCAAAAACAAAAAAAAGCGTGTTAACTTCGTCCTTAACTTGTTGTTTTTCCTTCTTCCAGGCCTTGGAGGAACTCTTGGCCAAGTACGACGCTTGCTTTCGGCGTTTGCCACCCTTTCTGCTTTTGCATTTGGAGCGCTTCCGCACGGGCAGCGATGGGCTGCCAGACCGGGTGCTACGGAAGTGCCGCATGGACCTGCAGCTGGAGCTGGAAGAGGTGGATCTGGTTGGAAGGGCGGAAGGAGAAAGAGAGAACAAAGAAAATTGAGAACACATAGCACTAGTGTCACTAGTGAGAAAGCAAAAGAGAGAAGGAGAGAGAGAGAGAGAGAGAGAAATTGAGATAGCCTCCAACCTACTAGCGATGGCCTCCAACCCAATAGAAAGAGAGATAGAGAGAGAGAGAGAGAGAGACTGTTAGATGTAACGTTGATTGCCAAATTGTACGCATAGCTGTGTCGTCTTCTCCTGAGCTCAAGGCGCATGCAGACTCTCGCGTCCGTATTGCACATGTCTCAACCCTATTGTTGACTCACTCTTGTTTTCACAAAGCATAGTAGTTCACATTCTTCCTCGGTTTGTGCAAGGGCTTAACACACCACAAGCGAACTTGTTCAAGAGAATGGTTCATCATTCTCAGGACTCAGGATCTTTTTCCATCAAATGTATTGCACGACATTGTTGTCACTCTGTACAGCTGCAGTTTTGACATCTTCCGTTGTTCCTGTGTACAGCTTAGGAGTTGCAAGACAAACGAAAACAATGACTCAACTACCAGATGAACAATCGGCATGGTGCTATGACAATGGTCAAATAAATTACAACCAACAGCGGCCAGCCCAGAACCCATTCACATGCACAAGCACCGCGATCACAGCAGCGTGCGTGGCCTCCCACAAGTGGACCCAGCAGTACACATTGTTTTAGGAGTAGAGATTAGCGATTGGAGAATACAAAGGAAAATGCAGACACGCAGCAAACAAACAGAGCATAGACAGGACAAGGACTTGAGAAACGAAAGGGACAAAACAAAGAAAGATCACCATGGACATATACTCTAAGCGCAGACGACAAGGATGTTATGGAAGCCGTAGCTATTGTAGGATCCTTGTTGAATCCTTTACATGTTTACCTTTGAATTCCGGACTTGCTTCTTTACTTTTCCCTTGCGTTAACTCGCTGGGTAGGTGTGCATGTCCGTCGCACTAGCTCAGTTGCATCCTTGAGCAATATAGCCGGTAGTGCTGCTGTGTTGTCTTACTCGATTCTGCCGAGTTTCTCCCATTGCGCTTTAAAGTTGCGAGAATCCATTCTCCATAAATCCTGCAAATCGCTTACGGTCGAATTTCCCCCCTCCAAATGTCACCTTCTTGTGGGAGCGTCCAAGGAATCCAAATAGACTTGATATCTCCTCATAGAAGATTGTTCTCCACATCTATCAATAGATTTACTGTATTGAAAATTGCGTGTTCTCCGGTTCTCCTTTCCCCCTTTCTATAGATCTCTGCAATCGGTGCCCATCAGCCCATGGATTGCGCCTCCTTTGTCCCAGTTCTGTCAGAGTCAATGATTTAGATCCGGTTGCTGACCGTTTGTTTGTGGGGTAACACAAACAGACCTCACAATCATCCTGCAATGCCTCATAATCCTGAACAGCTTGGAGCGCCTATCCTATCCTAGAGTAATGGATGCTTCGCAACGAGGTCTATTGTGAGCCTTCGCACTTCACTTGAGCACAAGCAACTCACTTTGATTGATGTTTTTTACATGGAAAATTGCAGCAAGAGGATTCCGAAGAAAGACAATCATCAAGCGTGTGGCTCAAGTTTTGGCACTCAAAACAGCTGCATCATCTCTCTTGCAACTCGACACTTGGAA